CCCCAAAACCCCAAAACCCCAAAACCCCAAAACCCCAAAATGCTCAGGTAATTATAATAAATATGGATTCTGACTACGAAAATTGCTATTTTTATGGATTGTATAGGTTCATCCTATATATTGTGGTAATCTGAATAGCCTTCCCCGTTCTTGTTTATAAATGGACTAGAGAGAAACCAAGGAGGAGTATCAGAACATGGTGGTTTGATGTAAGCAAGACTCTGTTGGGCTATCTCGTGCTGAATACCATCCCAGCCTATTACTTCATGGCTAGCACTGCTATTTATGCAGATATTTATCAGCAATACTGCAGAATCAGCTTTATGGGCACTTTAATGGATGGAATTTTAGTGACAGGTTTCTCATATTTCTTCTTAATGGTGTTTCAGAACTTCTCACATGCTAGTAAATAAGTACAGATTTTACAGTGGAAGCTATCCTAAAGGATGCAAAAGCTGGATATACCAGTTGATACTCTGGCTGGTCATCATTCTAATATCAAAACTAGTGGTCCTCACTCTTGTGTACATTTTCTACACTCCGCTGTACTTTTTGACTTTCTTCGTCCTGTACTTTCTTCAATGGAACTCCATGCTCCTGAAGTCCACAGTCTTGATTGTGGCTCCAATAGTTCAGAACGTTTTTGTATTTTATATTAACGTAAGTAAGCATCCCTCTATTTTAGGATGAGTTTCTGAGGTGCCAACTCTACAAAGAAAGCAACGATAACGAGCCTGATAATTTACTCCAACTTCTCAATGAAAGAGAAATGATGCAAAGAAAGTAACCTCTTTTAGAAATCATGCTTATAGATTATTTGAAATAAATATAGATGCAGAGAATACCCCTAATGCTAGAGGAGGATATGCTCCTCCTAACTTTGAGTGTTCTCCTAAAAGCGTTAGTTCTACTAGCTCTGATGATTTTCATATCAAGCCAAGAATCTCAAAATCTCCTTCAAAGCCAAAGCTGAATAAACTAAATAAAATTCCGAGCAAAGTGAAGCGAGAGATGGTAAGATATGTTGATAATCTTTAGTATAAATAGAAGGAAATACTCAAACAGAAAGGGTAGCTACCAAACCTCCAATTCTAGCTCCTCAAAACTTATCCCAGGAAGTGCTCTTAATGGTAAGTTTTGACTCTAAATTTTAGTTATCATTGAGAGTGATATTGCATCAGAAGATGAACCGATTCTTGATACAAAGGCAAAGAGCGCTTTTGTCCCGGAGCGGGTTACAGATGAAAAGGAAGTAAAAATTGAGCTTGAAAGTGTTGCAAGCTCGATCGATGAGCCTGTTGTGCTCAAGCACCAGACTACTCCTGTGATCACAGATCCTAAATTTCACTTTCAAAAACCAAGATCAAGATATTATGCTATACAAAAGATGGATGAAAATGCTAAAGCGTATCAGAAGAAATACAAAATGGTTAAAAAGAAGTATTAAAATTCAATATTTTAGCTACATTGTGGGGTTTTGGGGTTTTGGGGTTTTGGGGTTTTGGGG